GCAGAGCTTTCACAGAAGTTTGGGGAGCATAGCAACCCCCAACTCCTCAGTTGGGAGGGAAAAGCAAACCTCTGGGGAGCCAAGTCTTCTGCCAACTCACAGAGACCGTAGCGGGGAGCAAGGAAGGTGTGGGACCTAGAACCAGAGCTGCTCTCAAATCCTGGCTCTGTCATTGACTTGCTTGGACCATTACGGTGGTAGCACCAAAGGGAAGCTTGCAGGGATGTTAGACAGCTGTGACCTCCGTGAGTTCCCAGGCTGCCCCAAGTGATGATAATAATCATCACCGTGATGGACAGTTCCCACGCTTATGTCATATGAGAATGTTTTGGTATTTTTTTAAATCACAGTCTAAGTTAACATGGTGTGCTTTTTATGCAAACACAGCTTCAAGGCAATTCCCTGAGCAGTGCCCCTACCATCCTGTCACCACCGTAAACCCCACCTCTATGTGAATTCTGAGGCCAACACTGGCAAATCTCCATTCTTGTCTAAACTTTAGTTTCCTTCTCTGTTACAACAATAATGGCTAATATAGCTATTGCGTACTTTCTGTTTGCCCGGCGCCGAGCCAGATGTTTTTATGTGAATTATCCCATTTAATCCTTACAGCAACAGTATGCAGTAGGTCCTTATCATTCTGCACCTCAGCTTCTCAAAAGATAAGAGACAGTAATACCTATCTCCGGGGATTGGAGTGGGGCTAAAAACAGAAGACGCATGTGGGGTATCTGGCCCTGGTGATGCTCAATAAATGGCACGTTCTAGCAGTTGCAGTGGTTACCATTACAACTGCTAGAGAGGCTGCAGGTGAGGAAGTGGAGCAGGAAGAGGAAGAAGATAAGGAAGATGAAATCACGGCTCCCGGTGGGCAGAGAGCCAGCTTCTACTTAGGCCCTCCCTCAAGTGCTCATCCACAGAGGCTGTCCCTCCTGACCATAAGACCTGAAATGTTTTGTCAGGGTCACTGTGCATGGTGTTATTCATCCACACTCAGCTGAAGTAAAGAGGAGGCCTGCACAGATCTATACAGTAAGTGGGTCTGGCCTTGATGTCCCCAGCCTTGGCTGTCAACATCTTGTTTCTCTCTTGGTGACACCCTCTGCCCTCAGAAGGGCCCCTCCCTACGCAAGTTACTTACAATGAGTTAGAGGAGAGGAAGAAAAAGGAATAATCTGAAGTAGGCCAGGTCTACGACTCCAGAGAGAGCCACCAGGTCAGGCAACACGGGAATGAGCTATAAAGTCTGAAGGCCAATAATGTGAGGCTGTGTGCAAAGGGACTAAAGGAGTGTGTGACCGAAACTGGTAATTGTCCAGCTCTATCCACTATCCCCTTCTTCCTTTTAGTAATAGGTTCTTGAAATTTTACCATGCACATGGCCACTCAGCTGAAGACTACATTTCCCAGCCTCCCTTAAAGCTAATTTATAGCCACAGGAGTAAGTTCTAGCCAAGGAGATATGAACGGAAATGACATGAACAATTTATAGGACACATCCTTAAAACATAAGCCACATGCCCTTCTCCTTTCCTACCTTCCAATATGCAGAAACGCAGACCTGGTCCTGGTAAAGCAGCTTCAGCCAGGATGACAAAGGCAATCCCATGGGGTTGGCGAAACCACAGGAAACCAGGCTTCCTGGATCCCCTCACCCTGGGATGCTCACATATCTCGGAGTTTTTCCTTTAGGATTTTATAAACATCAATATTAATTGTTTGCTGTTTACATTAAAGCAGCGTAACTCGTGCTCATTTGCCCATTGTTTAAAATGAGTCTAAAATCCAGGTCCAAGAATGAGAATACTCTGGCTAGAATCCCAGTGAGCATGTTCCTAAATCCAGAAAAATTTTGAGGGCTTCTTTGAGGGGACATGGGACTGGTTTTCAGGGTTTCAGGGGAAAGAACATGAAATTCTGAGGCTCAGATGCAATCTCTGGGCTGAGGTGAAAGGGGAGGTGAGTCACTCCCATGGGAAAGGGCAGAGAGAGCCTCCCTCATTCTTCTCCAGATTGCTGGGATCAAGTTCAGGCCAATCCTCTGCATTTTGCACAGGCCAAAGATCCAGTGTGGCAACCGTGGGACAGCTTATTCCAGGGGAAAACCAAGACCCAGCTTTCTCACCACTGCATCTTGGCTTGCTCACCATCACATGGCCTGACACAGAAGGGGCTCAATAAATATTGATCTGAATATTGACTGAATGAATAATGAGAATCATACATCTTGAGCTCTTCAAAACAAGAACAGTTCTGGCAGCAAACACCAAGAGTTTGACACTTTAAAGGAAAGACAAGGGTTGGCTCGGCTTGGCCAGGTTCTTCATGGAACATATCTCTGAAAACCAAGGGACTGCAAAGGCCCTTTAAAAAACAGGCCTCTCAGCCGGGCGTGGTGGCTCAAGCCTGTAATTCCAGCACTTTGGGAGGCCGAGGCGGGTGGATCACGAGGTCAAGAGATCGAGACCATCCTGGTCAACATGGTGAAACCCCGTCTCTACTAAAAATACAAAAAATTAGCTGGGCATGGTGGCACGTGCCTGTAATCCCAGCTACTCAGGAGGCTGAGGCAGGAGATTTGCCTGAACCCAGGAGGCGGAGGTTGCAGTGAGCCAAGGTTGCACCATTGCACTCCAGCCTGGGTAACAAGAGCGAAACTCCATCTCAAAAAATAAAAATAAAAAAAACAGGCCTCTCTCTCTGGGCATCCCTGGGCCACTTCCCAAACTTTAGCAAACAAGAATTTGGAGGACTTCAGAAAGCCCGTGGCTTTGGAAAAACTGACTTAGGAAGATTGGCCTTCTTTCACCCTTCATTCATTCACTCAACAAAACTTTATTGAGGATATACTATATGCCAGCACCCAACCAAGCTCTGGTGTTAAAGAGAAGATTATAGACTCCAACTTTCTCGCCATCCTGAATGAGTTTATGTACTGTCCCACACTGTTCTCATAATCACAGCCTCTGTCTCCTAGCCTTCACCTCAAAGATTGCGTGGGCCATGGAAAGCACAGCCAGGATGCAACAGCTAGGAGCTACTTGAGGATAGAAGCAGAGACACAGTAATAACACCATCAGGGATGGAATGAAAATGGATTTCCCCCTGATGGAATTGTCCTCAACTACAAACCAACCTTGCCCCTTAGGCCTCTACTCCCCTCCTTCCCATCTCCTGAAGGATGAGTGGGGCGGCCCTTACTCTGAGGTGGCACAGTTCAGAGTCCAGGCTGCTGCAAGCCCCTGCACATGCTGCTGGCTGGAAAGTGGACACAGAGATCAGATCAGGCTTTCCTGGCCAGAGCCTGGACACAGGAACTCCTCCTACCCACTGCCATTTGGAGTGCAGTGGTTGTTGTCCCCCAAAACCCCCTTGACCTTGGGCAGATTGGAACTGGGTAGTGAGTGGCCTGGGGACCTGGGAGGGGGAAAGACTGGAGAGCAGGGAAACCAGCCCTGTGCCTGGGGGTTGGGAGAGGAGTGATAGAAGGAGTAGGAATGGGAAACCCTACCTGTTAGGAAATTGGGTCTGAAAGCTTTTTATCAGAAAACCAGTGTGAATGACAATGATGATAGTGACCATGAGCAGGACGTTGGGCCATGCATCGTAGCAGGAGAAAGTGATCATAATCCATCCCTCAGAGAACCAGCAATGAGGAAAGATGAAAACCCTCACTGGTTATTTAAAGAAAATATGGATTTCGTTCTTGTTGGAGAAGCTGCTTATTTGTGGTTGACTTCATATTTGCAAAAATTAGGATGCATTTTAAACAAACACATCAGGCTTTTGCAAAACAAAAAATTCTGAACTCGTTTGAGACTTGCAGAAGAGTTGCAAAAACAGTATAAAGAGTTCTCTACATCTGTCATTCCATTCCTCTAATGATAACATCTTACATGACCATAGAATAATGATCAAGAATAAGCTAACAGTGATACAGTATTATTCACTAAGCCACAGGCCTTATTTGAATTCCACTACTTTTTCTGCTAATATCCTTTTTCTGTTCCAGAATCCTAACCAGGACCCCACATTACATTTAGTTGTCATGTCTTTTCATCCACTTCAGTCTGTAACAATTCCTCAGTCTTTCATGAACTTGACACTTATGAAGAGTACTGGCCAATTCTTATGTAGAACATCTCTTCATTTTGTAGAATGTTTTCTTATGATTGGAATCACATTATGCATTTTTGGCAAGAATACCACAAAATTGATATCATGTTCTCTTCACAACAAAGGTTTGGTAATGTTGATATGCCATTGCTGAAGACGTTTACATTGATCACTTGGTTAAGTTGGTGTCTGCTGAGTTCTCCACTGTAAACCTATTTTTCCATTTGTAATTGGTAAGTAGTTTGGGTGCAATATTTAGATTTTTTTAAATTCACTGTTTTCTATTGATCATCCCTCTCAACTTCTGCAAGCCAACTGTAATATTCTGGTTGGCTTGAGGACAGCTCTCTGACCCCAGACTGCCTTGAGGTCAATGGTTTTAGCAGGGCCCAATAAATATTCAATGGGTATAGATGGAAAGTTCCATATGACATAATAACCATCATATGCAATGTGCAAGCCTTGTCTGGATCTTGATTCAAACAAACCAATTATAAAAAGACATTAATAGCAAATTTTAATATAGATTGGATATTGAATGATCCTAAGAAATTATTGTGATTTTTGTTAGTGTGATCATGGCACTATGATTATGTTGAAAACATCTTTTTCTCATAGAAATACATAGTGAAGTGTTGATAGTAACAGTGATATGATAACAGCAATTTGTTTAAAATAAGCCAGGAAAAAACATGTGCAGAGATGCATGACGTGAGAGCAGTGAACATCGATCGTGACGGAGGCAGATAATTGGCACGTGGCGTTCCATGACATGTTTCTAATTTTGTGTATTTTTTTAATTCCCAAAGTAAAAAGTAAAGGTTTTGATATGTTAAAAAGTGATTTATCTCAGTTCATCTGCCTCAGAAAATGCCACACTCATATATTAGTATAATTTTATTCTGCATTCTATGAAAACTGGATGCTCCCCATACTACATCAAAAGCAAGAAAATGACCCCACTCAGGATCTGGATGGTTTGCTTGCTTTGGGTTCCCAACCCAGATGACGCTCCTCTCTCAGTGGCATTTTCTCAGGGCACCTCCCTCTTAAGCAACTTTCTTCTCAGGTCAACTATTCACTGAAATGGAAATGTAATGAATCACTGGCCAGTATTCACATATTTTTTTCCTAGTATTTCAAACTGTAACATCATACTCTCTATGTCTGTACCTTTCTCTCTACCTCTTTTATCCTTGTCTTCAGTAAGTATTCACCTTTCTTGATGCTAACTCCTTTCTTTTTCACTTTTTTCTTTTTTTATATAGACAGAAGGTCTTGCTCTGTTGCCCAGGCTGGAGTGCAGTGGCACAATCATAGCTCCCTGCAGTCTCAATCTCCTGGGCTCAAGTGATCCTCCCACTTCAGCCTCCTGAGTAGCTGAGACTACAGGCATTCGCCACCACATCCAGCAAATTTTTTTTCTGTATAGACAGTATCCTCCTATGTTGCCCAGGCTGGTCTCGAACTCCTGGCCTCAAGGAATCCTCTCACCTCAGCTTCCCAAATTGCTGGGATTGCAGGCATGAGCCACTATGAACATCCACCAACTCCTTTAATTAATATGAATATTTGCCCTGTTTCTTCTAGAGATTTCAGAAGCCATTTGACCCTAGGCCATGGCATTGGGTAGGAAAGTTAGCCTCTTTGCGGCTCAAATTCTTTATTTATAACATGCAGCTAGCATAGAGTTACCACATGGGTCATGAAGAGAACTGCAAAGGATAACATGTGTGCTCCTATTCTTTGCATGTGTGGTACATTGGGGGTGCTCAAGAAATAGAACTTTTCTTCCACTGTGGTTGTGCCTACCCCAGAAAAGCCCAGGAGAGGCCCCAGAGCTGGCACAGCAAGACACTTAGGACCCAAAACCTGGACATGAGATGTGAACAATGTGACTTTGCTGAGTGGCAGAATTGTTGCCACACTTGGTAGCATAAGTTGTTTTGGAATTTGATGTAGTTAGAGATATAAAAGGCAATCATCTGACAATTCTATGCTCTTTTCTGACCTAGCAGATGTCTCTGAGACCACTGTAGATGATTGTGCAGTACAGATACTCGTGATACACAGCTGCACATGTGGTCCCAGATATCCGCCCCCACAGATGTAACCCACTTCCTGCCTTCCTCTCTCTGACCACCTCTATTCCTTCCCATTCTCCTTCCTCTTTTCATCCTCTCATGTAAATGGAAATCATAGTAACACTCTGAGGTTGTGATGTAGGTCAAAGTAGATGTGTCTAAAAGTGCTTTAACTCTAACATGCTATATAGGAAGTTATGTTTTATTGTTTTATTTTTCAGAACAAGAACTATTCTATATGTGTTACATGCCATCAGTTAAAGTGCTGGGTTGTTTTATTTGGGACCCTTTGGTTCTGACTGCAGCACACATTCCAGTCCCTAAGGCAATCAGTGGTATTTTTAGAGCCTTGCTGGCCTCTCTGCATGACTGGGATAGAGACATGATTTTCCCAAGAGGTGACTCTCCTCCTGGAGCATGCTACCTAGATCTGCACAGGTGTGAAGTGGCTCAACTACAAATTAACACCTGGCACTCAGTGTGTCTGCCCTTGTAAGTGTTGGTGTGGGGACTATATCAGAAACCCTATGTGTATCCCTTGCCCTGACATACAAGACTTGTCTCTCCAGATTGACAGGTACACAGCCCTCTGGCTGAACCTCTATTTCAACAACTCTGGGAGACCCTGTGAGGTGTCCCCTGAACACCGCTGGGGTTTCAGTAATAGGGTTTCACTTCCCACCCTGATTTGTGAACCTGTTGAGAAACAAGATAAAAGAACAAGTAGTTAGAAGCCAAAATATTACATTCGCCATTGATGAAGTTTAGGTTGGAAGGCCTGACTTGTATCTCTTGGCAAATGGAACCTCAGTTTTAGGTGCAGCCCTTTCATGGGAGTGCTGGGCCAGGGAAAGCTTCCACCCTGGCCAGAGCCTGCCTGAAGGAGCTGAGCAGAGCCTGGTCTCACAGCAGATGAGTACTCCCAGGAGGAAGACATGAGGTTCTGAGCCACGCTCCCAGTTTTTCCTCCCAAATTCACCAGGTAGAGAAAGAACTCTGACATGGGCCAGCACTAGCCAAGAATTGTTCCTTTCCCACAAAGTCTTCTCAGGGCAAATGTTTATAGAGTGACAAGTTCCCTCAAGAGGGACATCTGGTCACCCTGTAATCTATTCTATTCTGCAGAATAACTAAAACACGCTCTTCCATGCCCTGTCTGGTGTTTACCAAAAACCAAAGCTATGTGCTGGCATTCACACCTCCCACAACTGCAGTCACTTCTTCTGTTTACCTAGCATCCAGCACCCACACCACCCGCTGTAGTCTGAGGGCACACAGAGTATCCTGGCTTGACCCTAGCATTTCCTTTTAAACTGCTTAAGGGATGCAACCTGCTTCTCTTTTGTTCTTACACAGACAGTTCTGTTGGCAGCTTCCATATCTTTGGACCTCTGTATCATTAAGTATCACATGGCCCCACAACAACAATAAATGGAAAACTTCATCCTCATGTGTGTGTGTGTGGGGGGGGGGGGGGGGGTTGGTGTGTTGTTTTTTTTTTTTTTTTTTTGAGACGGAGTTTCGCTCTTGTTACCCAGGCTGGAGTGCAATGGCGCGATCTCGGCTCACCGCAACCTCTGCCTCCTGGGTTCAGGCAATTCTCCTGCCTCAGCCTCCTGAGTAGCTGGGATTACAGGCAAGCGCCACCATTCCCAGCTAATTTTTTGTATTTTTAGTAGAGACGGGGTTTCACCATGTTGACCAGGATGGTCTCGATCTCTCGACCTCGTGATCCACCCGCCTCGGCTTCCCAAAGTGCTGGGATTACAGGCTTGAGCCACCGCGCCCGGCCATGTGTGTGTTTTTAAAAGTCCGTTCCATTTAAATGAGTCATACCATTAAGTCAACACACAGTTTCGCTTTAAACCCCAAGTCACTTACATAAATCCCCAGGGGTTCACTGTGACCCTATGTAAGACTTCCTTGTTCTGCGAACTTTCGTTCTTGGATTACACACTTCCAGGGATGACTGCCAACTCCTCCCTTTGCCCTCAGTCCTCTAAGTGTGTGTGTGTGTGTGTGTGTGTGTGTGTGTGTGTGTGAGAGAGAGAGAGGGAGAGAAAGAGTGTGTGTGTGTGTGCGTGTGTGTGTGTGTGTGTGCGTGTGTGTGAGAGAGAGCGCACGCGACGCAAGCGCATGTGTATCATATGTCAGCATCCTGGTCCTGCAAATAAAAGTCACCTTTCCTGTTTTCTCAGCAACTTGAATCAATTCCAGTTTTCCACTTTCCCATTAGTGTTTGGTGTGTGTGCTTTGCTGAACTGGTCAAAGAAGCTTCCCACTCTGCAGAATTTTCAAAGGCGCCTAAGGTACAGAGCATTACACTGGAAAAAAATGAAGCTTTCTGATTCTTCAGAGACTCAGCCTCCTCCTTTGAGGACCCAGCTGCTGGTCAGGTGTTTAGAACCCGGCAGGCAGTCTATGCTTCCATGGCCTTTCCCAAAACACTCTATGCTTTCTTCTACTACGTACCACCATCTACATTTTAATGACTTGTTTCTCTTTCTCCTTCCCTGGTCTGTGAATTCCTCCAAGGCAGAAACTCTGTGCTAGCCAGTTATGATGGCTCAAGCCTATAATCTCAGCTACTCAAGAGCCTAATCACTTGAGACCAGGAGTTTGAAACCAGCCTTGGCAACATAGTGGAACACTCATCTCAAAAAAAGAAAAAGGGGGGGAAAAAGTCTGTGTTCTATTCTTCTTTTGATCCATTTCAGTTAGTTCCTGACTCTTAGTGCGAGCTCAGTTAATATTTGAGAAAAGGTAAGCAAAAGAAAGAAGCAAGGGAGGCCAGACGGGAGAGAGGTCCCAGCACCCTTGAATATGCTGGCACTCCCTGTAGAAAGCTGGTCCTACATGTTTCCCCGTGGCCAGCTCCTTCTCTCTCTCTCATTCATATGTCCATTCAGCATCACCCTCTCAGAATGTCCTTTCCTGACATCCCTATTAAAGGAGCCACCACACAGTCATGCTCTATTTTACTTTCCTATTTTATTTACTTCATAGCTCTTTGTGATCTGAAATTACTTAATTGTATGTTTATTTATTGCCTGACTCTCTCCACTATGATGTAAGCTCCATGAAGTACAATAGCTTCAGGATCTTAAATAGTGCTTGGCACATAATAAGTGCCTAACAAGAGTCAATTGAAGCTGGACGCAGTGGCTCATGCCTATAATCCCAGCACTTTGGGAGGCCAAGGCCGGTGGATCACCTGAAGTCAGGAGTTTGAGACCAGCCTGATCAATATGGTAAAACTCCATCTCTTCTAAAAATACAAAATTAGCCAGGCATGGTGGTGGGTACTGGTAATCCCAGCTACTTCAGGAGGTTGAGGTGGGAGAATTGCTTGAATTTGGGAGGCAGAGGTTGCAGTGAGCCAAGATCACACCATTGCACTGCAGCCTGGGCAGCAAGAGTGAAACTCAAAAAAAAAGTGGGGGATCAATTGAATGAATAAACAGAGAAAGAGAGGAAGACAGACAGGCTCCCCTCTCCCTTTTGCCGATTTGAATTGACACCTTAAAATGCAGAACAGACCAAAAAAGAAAAAAAAAACTGTTTTTCTGTCCTTTGCTGACATGTCCACCTGACTCTTTAACATGGACTGCAGGGCCCAGAAGACATCTTTACTGGAAGAGCAGTTCAAGATGCAAAAGAACACCATCAGGAATGTGGCGATCCTTGGGCGCAGAGCCCTTTTAGAAATGGTTCCAGCCACTCTACCTGTGTTCACTCTATAGACTGAGCTTCTGAAGGGATGGTGGGGAACATAGGTTTTACAGACACCCATCGGTATTTAAGCAGAGGTGGGGGCTACTGCTGATATATCATGGCACGTGGGAACATGTGGCACTATAAGACCTCAGGAGGCCCTGGAGCCAGATTTGGCCAGCCAGGGGGTGGGGGCTGCTGCGCTACTGCTCTTCTAGCTGCACTGTCCTCATCTCTCCTCTGTGCATCCGCTTCCTGCTCTCTCACTGCAGACCTGTGCTTGGGAGCCAAATATGGCTGCTCAAGGACCTCACAGGCCCATTTCTCAACTCCTCAGGGGAAAATCTGGTGAGTCCAGCTTGGGTTCAATGTCTACAACTTGTCCGCTCAGCTATGAAGGGAAGAGGGTCATACTGCATGAGTGTGGCATCTGGTACAAGGTTCAGAAAAAGGGGTATGTAGTTGGGGATCACCCAAAGACATTTCCCATCTTTACCTTAGTCAACAGATGGTGTGCTCAGACTCCAGTATCTGAGAAGCAGTTTATGGTCATTGCCCTTCAAATGTCCAGATGTTTTCCATTTGTCTTCTCTGTCATTAGCCGACAATCACCTGGCACTGGAAGCATAAAATATAAGAGGCTGCCCTCTGAAATATTTGCTGGGTCATGAAGGGCATTAAACACTTGTTTCCAGTGTTAGGGAAGCTAAAACAGAGGTCGTGGTTCAATGACAGAGAAATGTTTAATGTCTAAATTGGTCTGAGGAAGCCAAATGCTGCAGAAATCCTGTGGGCAGCTTTCCATCTTCCTCTTTCATGAGTGTCAGGGCCTGAGAAAACAACTCTTGGAATGTATCCACTTAAGTCCAACCACTTCAACAAAACAAGATAGAATATATTTTGAATGCAATCCAAACACACCTCTCCATGAGTAATTAATGAAGCCAGCTCACGCAGCCTTATGCCTCCTGCAATGACTACTTCTGACTCATTCCATTGGTTTTCTGGCTTTATAGCCCAGGTGCATGCGTTGTAAGTTGACATTAGGTGAGATCATACCTGGTTTTTTTTTAATACTTGGTATTTTTCAGCTGAATTTATGTTTAAGAAACTGTTCCTCTGTTGAGGGAAGTTTGTTGATGGACTGGAAGAGAGATGGGAGGAAGAGGAGCATAAAATAATGTGGCTTCAAAGAAAGATGTGGGTCTGCTGGTTTAACTGTGGACAGAGACACATTTCCAAAGATGATTGTTCCTTTGGAGACATATTCCTACCCTGAGAATATTAGCATATTCTCAGTGGTGGACCTAGTGTGTCCACCACTGACCTGACTTATTGAGAGGTTTGGGGCCAGTTCTGCCTGGTCCCATCTTGCCCGGGTACTATTCCATGAAGACCTTCTAGGTGACCGAGTCTTCAATCCTGGGGCTTCTCAGTGCCCTGAACCACTGGACAGGTAGGGGGTAATTTTCACAAGATATGGGAGGGGCAGAGGGCTGAACAAAGCCCTAGGGCACAGGTGGTTGTCTTTGGGCCTGGCTAGTCATCACAGTTACTGCAGGCCATAAGCAGTGTTCACCACAGGCAAATGGGACATCTAATCTATGTCCTTAGGACCAGTGAGGGTCTCCAGGAATGTGGAGCTGATGGGCTACAGTCCTTATTTCAGTAGAAGACAACTATCTCTCCTTCTGTCCTTGGGGTCCCTGTACCCCGACCTGTGGGATGCTTAGTCTGGAGAGCACAGCTCTCTTTGCAATTTTGCAGTTATTCAGCAAGCTGTTTCTGTGTTACACCTGCACTGGTGACTTTTGAACTTAAACACCGCAAATGTGGCTCTTTAATTCTCTACTTCAAGAGTGACATCCTTCCCCTAAAACAATGGATGACTCATATCTAATTTTCTGGCCTAGGAGGAATCAGAGTGCAAGTGAAGAAAATCAGAGGACACAAAGCTGGAAGAAGTGTGCAGGTTGGGGGGTGGGTGAGAACACAGAGGGAATTATTTACAACATTAACCCACTTCATATATAGGATCAGGTATTGTGCCTGTATATAAGGTTTGTTATTGTGGAGTTCTGTGTTCTCACTCATATGGTTTCCTCACAGGGCTGCAGTACAGACATGTAGACCTCACATAGAGGAGAAAGCAGGAAAGGTGGCTGGACTTGGCTTGGTTCCACAGAGTCTGGGCTGAACTGTGGATGTCCTGCTGCAGAGTTGAGCAGAGAACCTGGATCTTGGGACATGTACCAAGGTGGGACAATTCTGAGGCATGTTCTATACCAGCTCTGTCCAATAGGAATATACTGAGAGTCACATATGTAATTTTACATTTTCTAGTTGCCACAGTTTTAAAAAGCAAAATGAAACAGGTGAAATTAATTTTAATATTAATATATTTGTTTAACCTAGTCTATATAAAATATTATGTCAATGTGGTAAGCAATATAAAAAATAACCAGATGTTTTTCATTATATATATACTGTTAGAAATCCAATGTGTATTTTACATTTAGAGCACAACTCAATTCTTACTAACAACATTTCAAATGTTCAGGGGTCACCAGTGGCTAGTGGCTACCATATTACAGGTGAGGGAAGCTCTATTCTGTTTCTCACAGGTTCCCAGTGAGATTGAGCCCCAGTTGGCCACAGTGGTAATCTTCTGATGAATGCCCCCATCTAGATTTCCTTTCCTTCCCTGAAGGCCACCACTCCCTTGCCAATGCTTCCTGGATTGTCCATCAAATGAACTACTTGATCTCAACTCCTTGCCTCCAAGTCTGCTTCTGGGAAATCCAACCTAAGACATGATGGTCCTAAGTCCATGAGCACTAAGGGTAGCCACATCTTCTGTTAGTTAACTTGTCATTTTTGAACTTTTTATTATTTTATCATGGAGTAAATACTTGCTAAAAGTTACAGTCGGGTTTATTCTGTGTTATGACAACCTAGGGGAAGGGTCTGCCCATTCTTGAGCCTGAATAGCAAAGAAGAGAACAATGTCCCATTTCCTCAGGCCAAAGTGGTGGTAGCAGTAGCAGCGCCCAGGAGACAGCTGTGCTTAGTAGAGGGGTGACCTCTCAAGTGTCACCAACAGCAATGTGCCTGGGCGGCAAGGAGACTGGGGCAGCAGAACACAAAGGACTCATCTTGCTTTCATATAAGATGGCCCTGGGGATCCTCAGACAGGCCAGAGGACAGTTTCCAATCACTGGACCAAGGGGAGGAAGTACTAGTTACCAAAATTTTATGTTTAAAAGGGAATTTAAATTTTCGTAAATATAGATGGTAAGGTCAGGACACACTGGTCACAAATGCATTCATTCTCTTTTTTGTTTTGTTTTGTTTTTTGAGACAGAGTCTTGCTCTGTCACCTAGGCTGGAATGAAGTGGTACAATCTCCACTCACTGCAATCTTTGCATCCTGGGTTCAAGTGAGTCTCCTATCTCAGCCTCCTGAGTAGCTGGGGCAACAGGTGCATGCAATCACACCCGCCTAATTTTTTTGGTGTTTTGTTTTTGTTTTGTTTTAGAGACGGGGTTTCACCATTTTGGCCAGGCTGGTCTTGAACTCCTGGCCTCAAGCAATCCATCCACCCACCTCAGCCTCCCAAAGTGCTGGGATTACAGGCATGAGCCACCTCACCTGACCCCAAGTGAATTAATTCTCAATCTGTTGTTTCAGTCAGGATGACTTCAGAGAATCCTCTGTCCATGCCTCTGAAAACAAGAAAAAAACAATGACCGGTTGAGATGCAGATCAGCTCTGGCACTTCATATATTCTCCTAGAAGAGGTGCTTTCTAAGGAGTGGGAACATGACTTATCGTGATGCCAAACACCACCTGACACATAACACAGCCCTGTGAGGGTGTGGAGCAAAGACGAAAGAGCAGTTTTATGTCAGCAAGCACTAAATATTTCTAGAAGAAACCTGACCCCAAAATGTCTACATCTACATATATTAACAAAATAGTCTGTGATTTATTTATCCAGAAACTGGAAATTTCCTTTCTGCTCATTTGTACTGTGTCTCCAATTCTCTTATGCAAAATGGAATACTCTTTTTAGAATCTAGCTGATTTTCCAGGCACATTTTCTCTGGAGCTCTCATCTCTCCAAATAAAGGCCAATATATTTTAACTTCCATTACCCAACATAATAAATGAACAAAATATTACATAGAAGACAAGTCTAACTTTATGGCCTTATTTTTTTTTTACCTCCCCAAAACATGTGCCTCATCATCTTTTCCAAAAAATGAATTTAAAACAATAATACTAACATTTCATTTTGGCTTCCACAGCACACTTTACTAACTCTCTCTAAAGTCACCAGTGACTCCCTATCCTAATACCGAGGGTCTTCGCTTGGTTCTCTTCCTACTTGAATTTTCTGCAGCATTCAACATATTAAACAACCTTTCCTTTGTTCAGTCCATTGCAATAAATATTTATTAGTACCTAGTATAAGCCAAGCACTGTTGGCTTTTAGACATCCTAAATTACCTTCCAAAGAGCCCCTGATAATATACACATTGAGAGACATACGCTCATCTGCTGAAAGAAGCATACCTAGAAAAAGTACAATGGAATCATTTTTCTCATGAAACAAGAGCAAAATGCTACTCCTATTAAAAGAGGGTTGACATGCTTTTCATTGCTTTAGGAACTACCCATAGTTGAAATAAACAGAAATATTCTAAGGAACTTCAGGTCACTGACAGAGGTAAACTAATTTTGACAGCAATCCAGATAATTACAAGGGTTGGTTTAGGGGCTTTAGAGCTGTCACCAAGCAGTTCAAAACATAGGAAGCAAGCTCACTGCCTAGAAGTTAAGGAGCTGCAAATTAATCCCTAAATTTAGCATCCTGATATGGCTGAAAGCAAACTAGGTACACAGTTGCCCAATCAGAAACACAGAATCAACCCACTTAGCAACAGCAAGTTATGTTTCTGCTCTGAAGGTAGGTCAACAGGGTACAAGCACTGCCCAGAGGACACTCACCCAGGGAGGAAGTCTGGGGCTGGGTTTCCTCAAGGAAGCATGGTTGAAAGAAGAAACTGCATTGTAACTGAGAGAACTCAAGGTCATCATCAAGAAGATGGTGCTGACAAGTTTCAGATCTGAAGGATGAATTAAAAATGATTCTATGTCTCAAGAATAATGAAATCATGATCATTACTCATATCTGCTGCCTGTATGATATATGCAGAAACTAGGCACTCTCCAGCCTTGACCTCAGTCAATGAGATAAGATGTTGCTCTTTCTCTCTAAATGTCAGCATTTCCCAATATTCCACCTTTACCCCTCTTCTCCTATTTAAGCTATTTTCCTAGGTAGATGAGGAACCTGGGGCATGGAGCATTTAGGTAACGTGCCTGAACCCGAACAGTGAGTAATAGGACTACAAGAAGAGACTCGAGCCCAAATAAAGGAAGGCTAAAAACCAGAGAATGAGGCGTGAGTCAGAAACCACAGAGAAGGTCAGGATAGAGGATGGGGCAAAGAATGGGATGGTGCAGGTAGGTTAGAGCTAAGCCCAGGAGGAACTACAGAACACTGAATAATTCTCCTCTGGCTCTTCCCTGATGTATCCCAGAAAAAAGAATGTTGTTGAGAGGAACCATGGAAGTAATAGGAAAAGTATGCTGACATAAACGGATGAAAAATGACTTCTGATTGAGGCCAGGCACAATAGCTCACGCCTGTAATCCCAGCACTTGGGAGGCCAAGGTGGGGGCAGACCACCTGAGGTAAGGAGTCCAAGACCAGCCTGGCAGACATGGTGAAACCCCGTCTCTACTAAAAATACAAAAAAAAATTAGCTGGGTGTGGTGGCAGGTGCCTGTAATTCCAGCTACTTGGGAGGCTATGGCAGGAGAATCACTTGAACCAGGAAGTCGGAGGCTGCAGTGAGCCAAGATCACACCATTGCACTCCAGCCTGGGTGACGAGTGAAACTCTGTCTCAAAAAAAAAAAAAAAAAAAGAATGATCTCCGATACAGTGAGTCATCATTTAACATGTATTTACTGAACACCTACCATATGTCAGGCTCTGGTCTAGAACCAGCATTGAAAAAGTAGATAAAATACTGGCTCTGGAAGCGTGAATACAGAGGCTTAGAGTTGGGCACACTCAGAAATCACTAGGCCAGGCCAAGCACCATGGCTCATCCCCAAAATCCCAGCACTTTGGAAGGCCAAGGCAGAAGGGTCACTTGAGCCCAGGAGATCAAGACCAGAAGGTCAAGGTAGCAGTAAGCCTTATTCACACCACCGCACTCCAGCCTGGATGACAGAGTGAGACCTTGTCTCAAAGAAAAATAAAAACCATGAGACCAACCACATCTCCTGGTTTTTTAGGGTTTGTTTTTTTTAAACTTCTGGCCTCAAGTGATTCTCCTGCCTTGGCCTCCCAAAAGCACTGGGATTACAGGCATGAGCCACCATGCCCAGCCACCTTTTCATTTTTAAATTACCTTCTATGACTCCCTCACCAAAATAATAATAATACACACACACACACACACACACACACACACATACATACATATGAATACACACAATTACTGATTGTAGTGATGGTTGTACAATTCTGTGAATATAGTTAAAACCATTGAATTGTAAACTTTAAATCATATACATATAAATGTATACTTAAATTGTATGACATGTACATTATTTCTCAATAAAACTGTTACCACAAAAATAATAACTACCATTGCTTGGGCTTCCAAAGAATGTTTTAGGTAAAATATTTTATTAAAGAACAATTTAAATATATATAAAACAAGCGTTATAGTTCGAATGGGTCTCCTCCAAAATTCAGGTGTTGCCAATATGACAGTAGTAAGAGGTGGGGCTTTTAAAAGGTAATTAGACCTTGAGGGCACCTCTCTTAGGAATAAAATTGATGCTCTTATAAAATGGCTTCATATAAGGAATTCATTCCTCTTGCTCTTCTACCTTCCACCATATGAAAACTCAGCATTTCTCCTCGCTGAAGAACGTAGCAATAAGGCACCATCTTGGAAGCAGAGAGCAGCCCTTGCCAGACACCAGTGCTGGTGCTTTGATCTTGAACTTTCAGCCTCCAGAACTGCTTGAAATTCTTCTGACCCCACACCCTTCGGGCTAGTCTGGAATACAGGGCTTTCCTTTATATTTCTAAGACACATCTCTGCTTGCTTCTGTGATCTTTCAGAGTGAAGGCACCTTTTCTTATTCATGAAATGTTCCATTCTTGATCTTTCTATATACAGTGTCCCCTTAGCAGCAAATACATCCTTTAAATGGATGAAATTCTCTAGCACATGTACTCAAACCATGGCTTCTCCCTAGTGAGAGGGCTAGGCTTTGGAAAGCAATAGAGATGATGGTGGAAGTAACAGCTCAGTACTTATAGCCAGCAGGCACACATCCTCATCCCATCATTTTGGATTTTTCCAAAGAATTTTTTTAATTGGTCTAGGGGGGACTTGGATGTCCCAAGTGATTCTATTAAATAGTCTAAACTGAGAACCACTGACTCCAGCCATGGGAATGGGAAGGGGAATGACTGATTTTGAGGGATGTCACCCTCAAAGAACATTAAAGGAGTAGCTCCTGAAAGTCTAGAGTGGGAGCGTCTAGGCTTTCAGGAGCTACTCCTTTAATATTCTTTTCTGAGGCTGGACCACAGTGGCTCATGCTTATAATCCCCGCACTTTGGGAGGCCAAGGCAGGTGGATCACTTGAGCCCAGGAGTTCAAGACTAACCTGGGCAATATGGTAAAACCTCATCTCTATGAAAAATATAAAAATTAGCTGGGCATGGTGGTGCATGCCTGTAGTCCCAGTAACTTGGGAGGCTGAGGCAGGAGGATCACTTGAGCCCAGGAAGTTGAGGCTGCAGTGAGCCGATGTCATGGGATCCTGTGGGTGTCACTTCATCAGCTGGAAACCTCCGTGGCTGATGGCACTTTTGCCTGAGTTTTTACTCGGGCCCACTGGGCTTGTTCCACCCACTCAGCTCAGCTTGCACTACTGGCCTGAATCTTATGCCTGCCAAGGGCGAGCTAGATGCAAGCAGAGAGGGGCATGTGAGTGAGCGAGTATGGGGCCCAGCCACTGAGCACAGCCAGGCACACTGGCTGTGGTGGGGCAGGCAGCTCCAAGCACCAGCACAGGCGCCAGCTCCCTGTGAGGTTGTGCCTGGACCAGATGTACTGCAAGCAGCTTCGACAGCTGGCGCTGAGGAACGTGGTGGCACCTGGAAGCTTGGAGATGCCAGGAAACACAGAGCCCCAGAGAGGGTGTCACAGCCCTGGCTTGGGGAGCTCCTAGGTCTGGGCTCCCCAAAGGGCTGCAGCTCTTCTCTCCTTCTTATTGCCTACAACATGGTGAGCAAGGGGCATGTTTCAGACCAGTTTGTGTTATAGCTCTTTTAGTCCAGCTGTTCAGTGCATCCCAAGTTCTTGTCCTGTGTCTAGGAAGAATGAAGTACATGGACAAGTGGAGGGTGAGTAAGTTGAAGAGGAACTTACTGACATAACAGCTCAGAGGAAACCACAGTGGATTGCTCCTCTCCACAGGCAGGGTGTCCCAACGATTGTTCAGCTCTGAGCAGAGAGGAGGCCCACAGTAGGTATCTCCTCTCCAAAGGCAGGTTGTCCCAACAGTGTTCAGCTCCCAGCAGAGGAGACCCTAGAGTGGGTAGCTTCTCTCTGCAGCTGGTAGTCCTGACTTCTGCCCAGCTTTCAGTAGAGAGAAGACCCTGGAATAGGTAGCTCCTCTCCATAGGCAAGTCTTCTGGCATCTGGAGTCTGGCTGAGTCCAGGGGTTTTTGTGGGCTTCAGAGGTGAGAAAGTGCATGCTGATTGGTTCATGGATGGCTAGGGCTGGGCCTGGAAAAAGCATCATAAGTTCTGATTCTGGCCCATCAGCCCAGTCACCAGGCTTCAGGCCATCCCTGGCTTGAAGGTGGAGCTTCACCAGGGACCCACCCCTTTTCAACCAGGAGCCTTTCAGCCTCCTGCCACTGCCCACGCTGTTTGTGCTAAGGGGCACCTGCAGGTCCATGCTGGGCTGCCCTCAGTGCTCTTTCAGCCTCCCTCCTGTGCTCCTCAGTGCCCAAAGTCTGGAGGGGAGCCAGGGCAGCAGGAGGCTGGCATGTCAGTGCTGCTCTGAGTATGCCCACACCCGGCTGGGTTGCGATAGCACCTGGGCTTGTCTTCGACTTTGCTCCAAAATCAGAGTGGGCACGGGAGCAGGGAGAGAGGCCAGGCAGCAGGAGCAGGCACTTCTGAGACCACAGGGGAAGGGGGGCTTCCTGGCCTCCAAGAAATACCTGGGTCCAGGACTGGGTGGCTGCAGCTGTGCCTAGGAGGGCAGAGCTCCTGCCTGCTTCTGGACCCCACGAGCACAGGGATGTCCAGGTCTGAAACCATGACTGGGCAGTCGCAGCTGCACCTGGGGAGCATAAGACTCCCACTCTGCCAACTCAGAAGGGAGCAGGGCTTCCCCCTGTTCCCAGCTCCTGCCAGCTCTGTAGAGCCCACAGCCCTGGCCAAGTTGCTCCTAAGCTGGAACAGATATACCCATTCATGAGGTTCAGGATATAATGATTCAGAGAATGTTCAAGCATCCTAGCTTCTCTGAATCATTATGTCCTGAAGCACTTACCTCAGTCTACAACCAGTAATTAAGAACACTGGCCTTATTATCAAAGCTGAGCCTTATTATCAAATCCTGCATCTCATACTTGGTGGGAGAATGACCTTGGGAAAATCATGTTTCTAAGCCTCGGATTTCTCATCTCTGAAGTTAAGATAATAAAGCCTACCTGTAAGGGCTGTTATGGCCTTAAATTCCCACTGTAGATGTAAAGTGCTTGGCTCAGAGTGAATGTGAAATAAATTGCTAGTGATTATTTCTTCCCAGGGAGTTGTAAGACTGGGAGATCTAGCCCCTCCTCCAATATCCCCCTGCTGGTATATGGGTGTGCAACCTCCAAACATTCAGGACTCATAGCAGGTGCCTGCCTGCACTCTTCAAACCAGTATTCTAGGGGGAAGGCAAAGGGAATGATTCCTTCTCTCAGGTTCTTTCATCCGCTCCTGCAATGTCCTAGTCTTGGGGTGCACTAGCAAATATTGTCAGAGCATTTTCTCAGATCCACACCTGCCACCCTATACCTTCCTGGTCCTTCCTTCCTAAGCTGGGAGCCATTCCTGAAGACAAAGCCCCCAGGAGTCTTCACAAAGTCCCCATACTGAAACGTCTGAATTTCACCACATAATATCTTGCCATTAAAACCTAAGAGTGTCTGTCTCAGGACTGGCCATTTTTTCTTCCAACCATTTACAGAAATTTTATAATCCACAATTTATAATTCCACAATTACCTGGAATAGAATTTGTTGCTCAATACAGCATCTGACATCAGGCAGGATGTATGGAATAAATCATCAAAAAGCAGTTAAAGCTCCACTTGTTAAAATCCTCCCACTCAGCTAAAATACTGGCTGAATTCCTCTTTCATGTTGTTTATTGGTCAGAATGGTTCCCTCTTCCCTGCCTCTGAATTATTGTTATCACTATCTTTATTGCATTACGAACTTATCCAAGATTATACAGCTAATAATTGCCGAATATAGAATCCAGCTGTACTGACTTGAATAGCATCTCCCCAAAATTTACATCTCCTGGAACTTGGAATGTGAACTTACTTCAAAATAGTGTCTTTGGCTGGCATGGTGGCTCATGCCTGCAATCCCAGCAATTTGGGAGGCTGAGGCAGGAGGACCGGTTGAGCCCAGGAGTTTGAAACCAGCCTGGTCAACATAACAATACACTGTCTCTACAAAAGTAAAAATTAAAAAAAAAATAGCTGGGCGTGGTGGCACATGTCTGTATTCTCAGCTACTTGGAAGGCTACGTCTGCTCTGAGCTGTGATTATGCCATTGTACTCCAGCCTGGGTGACAGAGAAAGACCCTGTCTCAAAAGAAAAAAAAAATTGTCTTTGCGAATGTAATCAAATGAAGATAAGGTCATATTGAATTAGTACGGATCCTAAATCCAGTGACTAGTGGCCTTAAAAAGAAGGAAATGTGGACGCAGAAACACAGGAGGAGACACAGAGAAGCTCATGTGAAGATGGAGGCTGGGGTGAAGTGATGGTGCCACAAGCCGAGGAATGCCAAGGATTGCCAGAAGCCACCAGAAGAAAGGAGGCAAGAAAATAGTCCTCCTTTGCAGCTTCAGAGAGAGCGTGGCCCTGCCAATTTTGGACTGCTAGCCTCCAGAACTGTCAGGGAATAAATATCCGTTATTTTTGGTAATTTGGTATGATGGCCTTAGGAAATGAATACTCTGTCAGATGTCAGACATCCTCATGCTTAATGACTCTCATCCACACAATGATGCTATGTGGCTTATGCTTGTAACACTTAAACTGTATCCTGCACAGCACATTTCTCAGGTGCCTTCTATTTCTTAGTAGGAGACAGATGGAGCACTAGAAGTTGAGGGGGGATGGAGGCTGTTTTTAGGGATGAGGAAGAGGTAGGATTATTGCAAGGTAGTGGATGGGGGAGGTGCTGTTTTTCTGAAACTATGCCCAAGCTTCATTGTTAGCCAGACCCTGTGAGTTACCAGAAAGAGGAAAATCAGTTTACTAATGAAAGAATTGTGATGCATTAGAAAGCAAGAAGGACTGGAAGTTGCAAAGCCTGCCACAAACGAGCTCTGCGATTAGGCACATGGTATTCAGATGTGGCTGCTTAAGTTAGGCAATTCATCTTGGGAACGTTGACATATAGCCTGAAAAGCAAAATATTACTCTTTCTGCAGTTTAAAAAAAAACTCCCGGAATCCTCATTCATTCCCACCCAATTCCTGACCCTTATTCTATAACTCCCAATTTTAACACAGAGCAGGAAGTTAACTTTTTAGTTGACCAAATAAATAAGGGAATGAATATTGAGGATAGAAAAGGGTTGGAGGTATCAGCAATGAAATGATGGTCAAGGAAAGAGAAAGACTGAGATGTATAGTAAGGGCATAAAAGAATGTTCAAGAATCAAAGATGTCTGCCACTAACATTTGGTAATCAAAAGCCGTAACAGAAGCAAATGTGACAATATATTGATATCTGTTCAATCTTGGTAGTGAGCCTAGGGTGTCTGTAATATTCTTTATAGTTTGGTGGGTTCAAAATGTTTCCTTTAAAAAAGAACAACAGTGCAGTAGCAACCTCAAAATAGCCAGATCAAAATGAGTGCGTTAAATTGGCAGCATTCAATTCACTTGCTTTGATGGGTGAATCCTCTCCTTCATCAGCAGAACTGATTTGGTTGTGGTAAAAACAGTTCATTCCTACATATGGATAGACCAATACAACCCTTTTGGAAAGCATCTGCAAAAATATATATGAAAAGCCATAAAATATTCATTTCCTTGGGCTTTGTACTCCTAGTCCTGGGAATTTATGCAGGCAATGATAATTTGAAGGGAAAAAGGGTGAAAATATGTAAATTCTGTGACAATTTTTTAATAACAATGAACACTCAGGAACGATTTAAGGTTTCAGTGGGGAATGCTCACCACTGCCCCGACCCTGGTCCCGCCACCCTAAGCTGTGCCTGGATGGCTGTGTGTAAGGAACCTCTAGAGCTGTGCTTTGGTCAACGATAAGCCGAGGTAAACATCCACAGGCACTCAGCGAGTTTAGAGCACAGGCATATAACTCCACTCGTTATCACACCATGTAGCCATGACATGGGAAGGTCATCCCTTGGCTCTAAGCCACTACTGTCTGTAAAAGATATAATTGCCCTGTTGACACTGTGCAGGTGCACTGGCGCCCAGAGAGAGAGAGAGCCAGAGCTGTCTGTCTTGCAGACGAATAGTGGGTAGCCAGGACAAAGCTCGGCTCGCTTGTGCCCAGAGTAAGAGTATAAACAACTGCTGACCCTGAAGGCAAAGCCCACCATGCAGCTGTGTGGGGGTGTCGCTGGACTAAGCAGCCAAGACAGGGCAGACAGTGTAGACAACTAATATAGGAAAGCTGTTGATGAGAGTTGCTGCTGAATAAAATCTTTCACCTGCCTATGGTCCCCCTGGGTGATTCTTCTGCTCATCCACCCACTCCCCTTGGACCTCAGCATGGGCTGGAACCTGACCCCAAGCATGACATTTGGGGAAGTGGTGACCCTGACACTGTGGTAGCCTCCACCTGGTGAATGCTTCTGCCCTTGCCCCTGCCGTCTACTCTCCACTCAGCAGCCAGAGTGATCCTTTCAAAATGAAATCAAACTGCTTCCTTGCTTCTCTTCAAAATGCTCCCATCACCATCACTGCTCCACCCTGGTCTGAACCACCACCTCCTGGGGCCTGGATATAGCAATAGCTCTCTAACTGGTTTTCCCTCTTCCACCTTCTCTTCCCTTAGCACAAAAGTGAAAGTATTTCTTTTCAAATCACAAATCGGATCCCGTCACTCAGCTCAGAAGCCTCCAGTGGCTTCCCGTCTGACTCAGCACACCCATATGACTCAGCACACAAGTTCATCTCCTTCTAGGCACACTGAGCCTTCTTGTTGGTTGCCGGCTGTACTCATAATGTTCTCTCCTTATATCCACACGACTCACTCCCTCACTTCCTTTAAGCATAAATCAAATCCCTTATCTCAGTATTGACAAGCCAAGAGCAGACTCCTCCAAAGTGAGCAATGCGGTCATCGACCACCCTAGTTAAAATTTTACCAACCCACACAGCCTCATCCTATTTCCCTGTTTTATTTGTTCCTCTTAGCGTTTATCATCTTCTATATATTAAATAACTTATATACAGCTGGTCATGGCGGCTCGCGCCTGTAATCCCAGCACTTTGGGAGGCCAAGGCAGGCACATCACCTGAGGCCAGGAGTTCCAGACCAGTCTCACCAAAGTGGTGAAAACCCGTTTCTACTAAAAGTACAAAAATTAGCCAGTCGTGGTGGCACTCACCTGTAGTACCAGCTACTCGGGAAGCTGAAGCAGGAGAATTGCTCGAACCCAGGAGGCGGAGGTTGCAGTGAGCAGAGATCGCGCCATTGTGCTCCATCCAGCCTGGGTGACAGAGCGAGACTCCATCTCAAAAGAATTAATTAATTAATTAATTAATTTTAAAAACTTAGACATAGCCAGTTGTGGTGGCACGCGCCTATAATCCCAGCTACTCGGGAGGCTGAGGCAGGAGAATCACTTGAACCCAGGAGGCAGAGGTTGCATTGAGTGGAGATCATGACACTGCCCTCTAGCCTGCGTGACAGAGTGAGATTGTATCTCCAAATAAATAAATAAACTTAGATAAAAGTTTTCAAGTGTCTACCTCGTCTGCCCCAAACACACATAGGCTAGAATATAAATTCCATGAAGAAAGGGATTTTTATCAGTTTTGTTCACAGCTGTTTTCCTAGCACCTAGAACAGTGTCTGGCACATAGCGGACATTCAAAAAACATTTTTTTTCTTTTCTTTCAAAAAATTTCTTTCTTTCAAAATTTCTTCAGTATTTTAGTTACGCTGTTTGTGTGTATGCATGTGTACGTGTGTATGAGTGCGTTTGTATGTGACCAAAACAGTAACTGGTAAACACAGCATCAGGAAATTGTAGGGCAGGATCTGGGAAAAGAGGAGGAACCCGAAGGTACGGACAAGCCTAAACCGGACTCCCCCGAAGTGAGCAGGCAGCAAAGGCTGACAATGCCAGCTGCCTGGGCACTGACGGATCCCACCCACGGAAACGTTACCTTATGGGGAAGCTAACCCGGGCCACTCGCCGACGACCTGCGCAGGCGTGGCTTCAGAAGCCGCCCGCTGTGGGCGGAGCCACCCGAAAGGCTCGGGTCGGGGGCGGGAACAGGAGCGGCCTGCGGGGTGCCGCCGATAGGCTGCCGCAGTGACAGGGTGGGCTCTGCCGAGGAACCCGCCTCGCCCGGGGGCGGTGCCTGCGCCTTGAGCCTCTAAGAGAGGGAAGGAGCGCTCCTCCGAGCTCCGCGTCGCGACGGGTAGATTTGCGACGCCGTCGACCCCAGAGGCGGGGCCGGAAGCGCTCCGGTTTGACCCCCAGCTCCGTTCCCGAAGGGGCGGCCGTCTTTCTCCCGACCCGCTCCGCCTCCTCGCCTTCTCTCCCATTACCCGGAGGCCGAAGCCCTCAGTCAGGGCGGGGCGGCGCAGCGCGAGCTCCCAGACCCGGAAGAAGTGCCATCTCCCGCCTCCACCATGGAGCCCACCGCGCCGTCCCTCACCGAGGAGGACCTCACTGAAGTGAAGAAGGACGTGAGTAGCGACATTGTGCCTAGGGCGGGAGGGGGCGGTCTGCAGTCCAGCGGGCGAGGGAAGCGGAAACCTGGAGTCCGAGGACAAGGAGCCTCCTCCAGGTCGGAGGAGCGGAAGATCCTAGCACGGGAGGAACGCGGCGAGCCCTGCATCCGAGGGACCTTGGTAGCAGTGATCCTTCAGGGACCTATTAATCTAGGTTTTACGTTGATAAACGCAGAGCTTGGGCTTTGGAAACCTTGCCCAGCGGAGCTTTGCTTCTTGCCCACTCCTCACCCATCCCCTCATGCTTTTCCCCCACTACGTTTTTGGATATGTTTCGTCAGGGACTGGCGGCTCAGATTCATCCTTGAGTCCGGCCGCCTAGGCTGCTATATCAGCCTAGAGCGAAGGCTGTACCAGATAAAGGATCCCAAGCAGTGGACCAAAAATGTGAAGCTCTTTTGCATAGGGGGCTGGAGGAAGCTCAACATCTGAAAGCACAACCCGGAATTCCCCTAGTTAGCAGACGCCCACATATTTAAATTGGGGTTGGGGGAGTGAATACACGTAGCTGAGAATTATCGTATAGGTAAACGTCGAAAATATTCAGTAGCTAAATTATGCTCTTCTCGGATGGTGCAGAACTACATAAACCTTCATATTTATTTGTATCGAATGGCTTTGTTGAGATGACATTCTTTTGTGTTTAGTTACTTGTTTTGCCAGATGAGACCTGTAATACTTTATATGAATTCAAATTAAAAACAAATTCAACATGAAACGTGTTCTTATTGAGCATTGCAGTACTTTTACAAAGTCATTTTGGTGAACTGGACAGGATAGCAACTTTTTAAATGTTCATATACTTCAAATCCCTTCCTTTTCCCTGTAAGGTTTATTACACTGTACTCACGATTGGTGTGACTCACCAGCAGAAGGAAACTGGATGTGACTGGGACTTGTGCTTAGTTTCCTCATTCAGCAGAGATTTATGGAGCACTTACTATATGGAAAGCACTGACCTTGGGTCTGGAAGGATACAAAAAATGAAGATCAGTTTCCTGCTTTACATTCCAGTTGAGATAAGAATGGAACATAAATAAACTACTGTAGAATAAATGTTGGCTTATTCATAGTGAGTACCAGTAAAACCTTGAACCTCCAGGAGCTAGGCCTCCTATGTTCCACATCCTGTGTCACACAGTTCACAATGTTCCCACTTAACCTTCACAACAACCTCTAAAGAATATAATTGCCATTCGCATTTTACAGCTAATAAAACAGGAACTGAGAAATTACAAGTGGAAGGAAATAAGACCTGTATACAAGTACAGATGTGAAGAGTGGCTTCCAGGTCTTTGTTTTTCTCTGTCAGTTCATTGATGTTATCCATCTTCAGGATTTCATTTTATGCTTATATCAGAATTGCATAACCTTGAAACCATGCATGGATTTCAAAAGGTCTATGAAAAAAACTATGTGCATGCTTTCTTCTTAGAGATTTTTTTAATGATATTTTCAAAATGTTTTCTGATCTTAGAAAGTTTTAAAATTATCATCCACATATTTGTACCCCTCTCTCTACTCTCAGTCCTTATTTCCAAACGTCTACTGGAAATCTACTTTTATATTCTACAGATTGCCCGCCTTGACAAAAATTGAACTTTTTGTCATCCTTCCCCCTCAGTTGCTTGCTGTTGCTGCTGTATTGTCGGTCTTGATGAATTGTGTGCTACCACCCTTCGTCTTGGGACCGTTCACTTCTTTAGTGTCTCCTCCTATCTGGTTATTTGCCTCATCGTGTTGGCTGGATTTAGTTCAATTTAATAAATATGGATTACATGCTGCTGTGAGACTGATACTGTGGTTGGTTCTACAATTTAAAAAATTTAAAACTAAGACAATCCTAACTTGAAAAGAGCTCAGTTTCTTGAGGGGATCATTTTAAATCACAAAATAAGTGTAGCGAGTTTTGCATTCATCTGAAACATTATCTACTTGGTGCTCTGGGTTAAGTGCAGGATAGACAGTGTTGCTTAAAACATACCTCCTTGCTGCCTGCTTCAAACAGAGATGTTAGAGTTGAAAACAAATAAATGTACTTTTATATTTATTTGTTTTCATTATATAAATGCAAACAAATCAAAACAAAATAGATTTATTTGTTTTCATTATGGCAGTTACTATGAGGGAATCAAACAGTGCCAAGACAGTAATAGGGGAAATCGACTTGAGATAGGATGGTCAGGAGAGGTCACATTTCAACTGATTCCTGAAGAATTTGACAGAACTGAGGGAAGAGCATTCTAGGCAGAATAGAATTTGCTAAGGACCTAAAACAGGCAAGACCTTGGTGACTTGGGGAAATCGGAGGAAGGCAGAGAGAGGGTAATCTGAAATGAAGTTAGGAAGGTGGGCTAGAGCCATTTTCATGAAAAGCCTTTTAGTAAAGTGTTTGGGTTTCTTTCCCCCAAAGTATAGTAGGGACTTGTTGAAGAATTGTATTTTTTAAAGATCCCTCTGCCTGTTTCATGGACTGAGAAGAGCAAGAATAAGAGCAGGGAAACCATTGAGCAGGTTCCTGGAATCTATATGGATGAAAGATGATGGTGATTTGGATCAGGGTGAAGGCAGTGGAGATGGATGAAACAGGAGAATTCCAGATGCATTTTTGAAATAGATATGATAGGACCTGGTGATGGACTGAACGTGAGAAATGAGGAAGAGGATGTTTAACAGTGAATTGTTAGCTTGAAAGTAGGGTTACAAAAAAAAAAAAGTGTTTATTCACACAGGAACAGATCACCTAGCCTACTTTCCTGCCGTCATATTCTAGGATATTTCTAAGACCTTCCATTACCTTTGTCATCATCACTAGCATATATTGATCACTTACTCTGTACCAAGCACTTTCCTAAGCACTTTGCGTATGTTAATTTATTCATTCCTCATATAACAGTCAGCTGAGGAAACAAGTACAGAGGAGTTAATTACTTGCCCAAGATCATATATCTAGTAAATAGAGGAATTAAAGTATAATCATCAGTATCAAATTATTAATGCCATTTATTGAGATCAACATGGATTTTTCTTAATTTTCTAATTAAGCTGTTAGGTGCTTCTCAAGTCTAGGTTTGCTTTTTTGGTATCCTTTTTCTTTATTTCTTTTTTTTCCAACAGTCACTATTCCTTTAGGTTTCTCTCCCCACACATCTTTCCATCTCCCTTCCACCAAGACTGAGTCACTGAGTTAGAGTATAGTCTTTCCAGCTGACCCCAAAGACAGATACGTTATGGGCCCTTTCATTTTAGGGATTTGTTTTTAACAGTTTTACTCTAAGGAAATAGAGTAATTAATGACAAACATGAGAAAGTTACAGACTGTGAAGCCTCTCACTAAGTTACTGGTCCTAATTCTGGATTCCTTGCTAACTGATAGCTAAAATGTACAGTAGTCTTTGCCCTCATCTTTACCTCCAAAGATGGCCCTCCACAGACCTCCCTGTTGCTGAGGACCCAGGCCCTCTAGATTCAGCTGGTCCCTCCTCACAACAGCCTACTCTTGGGTTTTAGGTTTGAAGGTGAGATAAGAGCAGTGAGGAATGTCTAGGACCTACTTGTGTCTACTTGGATTTTCATCTTAATTAGCATGCATTTTACAAGCCCTGAGCCTCCTCACTTTAGAACATTGTCTCACACCAGTTAAGATTCCCAGCTAATGCTTTCTTAGATGTTACAAAACAACATTGAACCATATTTTATGTCTTTTAGGCCTTAGAAAATTTACGTGTATACCTGTGTGAGAAAATCATAGCTGAGAGACATTTTGATCATCTACGTGCAAAAAAAATACTCAGTAGAGAAGACACTGAAGAAATTTCTTGTCGAACATCAAGTAGAAAAAGGGCTGGAAAATTGTTAGACTACCTACAGGAAAACCCAAAAGGTCTAGACACCCTTGTTGAATCTATTCGGCGAGAAAAAACACAGAACTTCCTGATACAGAAGATTACAGATGAAGTGCTGAAACTTAGAAATCTAAAACTAGAACATCTGAAAGGTAAGATATCCTAGGTATCTAAGAGTTAATTTAAATATAATGATGCTTTTTAAAAAAATGCAAAGTAGGCCAGGTATCTGCACTTTAGGAGGCTGAAGCAAGAGGATTGCTTGAGGTCAGGAGTTTGAGACCGGCGTGGGCAACATAGTGAGGCTTTATCTCTACAAAAAATTTTAAAATTAGCCAGGCATGGTGGTGCATACCTGTGTTTCCAGCTGCTCAGGAGGCTGAGATGAGAGGAGCACTTGAGCCTGGGACATTGAGGCTGCAGTGAGCCATAACTGTGCTACTGTGTTCCAGTCTGGGCAGCAGAGCAAGACCCTATCAGAAAAAGCAAAACAAAACAGAAATGATCATTTTGCTTTCAAAAAGTTTAAACTTCAAAATTATATTCAGCCGGGCGTGGTGGCTCACGCCTATAATCCCAGCACTTTGGGAGGCCGAGGCGGGTGGATCATGAGGTCAGGAGATCGAGACCATCCTGGTCAACATGGTGAAACCCCGTCTCTACTAAAAATACAAAAAACTAGCTGGGTGTGGTGGCATGTGCCTGTAATCCCAGCTACTCAGGAGGCTGAGGCAGGAGAATTGCCTGAACCCAGGAGGCGGAGGTTGCCG